ACAAATTGAGTCTTACTCGTTACATCTTAAGCCCTCGGCTTTACAAATAACAAACATACACACATAAGGCATAAATAAGAGGCCATTGCTTCCCAAAAGTCCACCAATGCTGATGCCTTGGAGGAAATATTTCACCTGCACCTGAAAATGATATTCCCTTATAGGGTGATCCAACAGCCCAGTAGAAATAATCTAACACAATATATGAGGTTTAGCAAAGGTATAAATACCACGTATATAAACAATACCAATACGGAAGTATTCACAAGGCCTGCATATTCATATGCCACTAAGATCAATCTTATTCCATTTTCCTTCAATTCATTTCCAATTCATATGCACTACTCAATTCATGAGTTAAATTTTTTATCTTTCAACAACCAATATGAGATTACAACTCAATAGTTTTTCCATTTATGCAAAACACACATAAATACTTCAAACTTGCAATTTTACGGATATTTCGTCCGAAGGAATCGACACCTATTTATATTTTCTCAAATATGTCATTTTACGGATATTTCGTTCGAAGGACTCGGCACCCATTTTGATATAAAATTTCGGGTCTTTTACCCAGGACACTCTGGCCAACTTACTTTAAATGGAGTCCATCCCCTTTTTCATCCTAAACAAATATACATATGCAATGTATTTATAACATAATCATATATGGAGTACATCCTCTATCTCCTCCCAATAAACATACATATACAATGTATTTATAGCACGGTCATATTCAATGACAACCAATCAATAGATTAGCATTAAATCGCCAAATCCTCATGCAATTTCTACAACAATCATGACTATCCTCTACCGATAGCCTAATACATTTATCTTTAGACATATATTAAATCTCAAGATATATAATTATTTAAAACTTCCAAAGGTGTGAGATAATACATATCCAATTTCACCACCTACATAAATAACCATCCAATTTAACATATTCAATGTTAATTCTAATTATTTATACAAAATAATCATTTTATCAAATTTGGGCAAAAGTCCCCCTTTTTTCAATATTGACCCAAACACCCAAAATCAACTATGTTGGTACATCAAGATCTTATATTCAAACCCCATACTCATTTACTTCATATTCATCAAAAACCCCTATTTTCATTCCACACCCAAATCTTAGATTTGTCCAAACTACAACCAAATCTCATCATCTATACACAATAGCAAATAACTAAGCTAAAAGCCATATTAGAGTGTAGAAAATCTCTACCTCAAGTGTAGAAGAGGAAACAAGAAAAAACTCCAATTTCCAACTTTGTTGGATTTCGATCTCCACCGGTCAAAACATTGCTCTCACTAAGATCTTCACTTTGATCTTGAGTCGAGTTTGATGCCACCTTCTTCCGAGTATTTTCCACCTCTAGAATGTATTCTATCCAATAATTCACCTCCTTTGCATAACTCCATTACTACATAAACATTGTCGTCATCCTCATAGGCATCATAAAATTTCTCACCTCTTTTGCATAACTCACATCATAACTTACCTAAATAATAAGAATTAAAAACAAAAAAAAAAAACCACAGATAAATTATATGAAAAAAAAAATAGAAAACCACAACTCCATCTTAAAAAAATTGGGAAAAAAAAATGGAAACCCCACAAGAATATAATTATCTATTTTTCTGAAGTATATATATCAAAATTTAAATCACTTAATAGGATAAATTAATTAATTTTCAAGTCTTATTTAAAGAATAATTTGATTAGTCATCTAAACTCTTAGACTTCGTGGGCATTGGCGGAGGATTTAATGAATTGGGTTAGGTGAGATCTAAGTTGTTTGAGGTAACATTTTCCCGTTCTATAAATTTATTTATTTTTTAATTTCTCTTTCTCTACTGTTGGTTTGGTTTTAGTTATGATTTTAGTGAGATTTATGTGTTTGTTTATAGTTTTGCATAGTGGAGAAAAATTATTGGTGATTATGATTGCAATTGAAGTATCTGTATCCGTTCTGTGTCAAGGATTTTGATTGGATTTAGTTTTCTTCAATGAAGACCATAAATTTGAAGTAAAAAAAATGGGTATCAATTTTTTTTTATTGTCATTTTATTTTATAGAAAATGTGAAATTTATTGAGAATTCAAGATTTTATTATAATATTAGATTTTTGTATAACTAGGTAAATTTAAAACTTTCAAATATCACTGTGTTCTTTATTTTTATCCTCTTTCTATCCCATTATACCATTATTGCTATTTGTTAGTTTATTAATTATAATTCAATTAATTGAAAATAAAAGCTTAATATAACTTTTCATATATATTATAGTTAATTTGTTACAGGTATAGTTGTACATAATAGCATAATATATAGGGATAATCTCTAAATATAATTTCATTGTTTTTATGTGATTAAATAGTAAATAGAAGAGTTAGATGGCTTCTTTTATCTCTAAAAAATCCAATCTATTTTTTTTTTTACTTTTTAATTTTTTAAATTGAAACATCAATTGCTTATGTCCATAAGACAAAACTAATAAACGCATATCCAAAAGCTACGCATTTTTCTTTCTTTTTCTTTTTTATTTTATTTTTTTAATATGTAGGATATTTACAAATAGACCTCAATTTTTTTTTTTCATAATCTGACTTAAAATGATGTAGTCATAAGTGTCAATTTTTATACAAATATGAGAAGAGAATTAATTAAATTATACATTTCAACCAACCACATACTCAAACTTTGACTATTTCAAGATGTTATTTCACCATAATTTCAATTAAGAGAATCTTCAACTCTCAATTTTTTTTATCAAATTATAATTTGATAAAAATTTAAAAAGATAAAACATGGAATTTTTTTTTTCCATCAAAATTGGTGAAAAGAAAAAAAAATTGGGATAAGAATGAAAGTTCATTTAAAAATTGATAAAAATTTAATGAAAAAGTTGAAGTAATTCATATCAAATCAAAATTTTTATTCAAATTTAAAATCAAATTAGATTAAAAGAAAATCAAGAAAGTTTGAAAATATTTTGAAACCTTCTTATTCTTAAAGACTAGAAATTCGTGTGTGTATTATATTCATATTGTGTTTTTAGTTATGAAATTGAAATCAAACGAAATGTAACTTAAATTATTGGATTAATAATAGAAATATCATATTAATTATTATTAAATATCACTTTACTTCACATTTAATAATAAAATTGTATATTTATCTTAATTATAACTTTTAAATTTATATATTTTCATAACAAGAAGAGATATGTCATAACTTCATTTAATTATATTAATTAGGGTTTAACTTTTTTTTAATACAAATTAATCAAAATTGCACTAAATAGATTTATATATATATATTTTTAATTGTTTTAAACTAATTAATTTAAAATGTTATAACACATAAAAGTTAACTTATAATTTTCATGTATACCACAAAGCAAAAATATTAAATTATTTCAAAGATAATTATAATAATATATATTTTTAAATTCATAAAGTCCCGTACATAGCACAGAATTATCACTAGTATGATTAATGCAATAGATAAAAAAAAATATGAGTTGAATAAAATAAAATTTTTAGAAAGAGAATTTATTAAAAAAATTTCCTTAAAAATAAGTAACAAAAATAGTTTTAAAAATAACTGTCTATTTTTTTAATCGAATAACCGTCTATTTTTTTAATCGTATAATTACCATATTCGATCATTTTGATTGTTATAAGAACAATTTGAATCACACAGGACCTCTAGTTGATTCCCAAATGGAAGAATCCAATCTCCTAAAAAATTTTAAACGTTGTTTTTCATTTTCAAACCAATTATATTTAAAAAAATAAATAAATAGAGTAATAACCTGTCAGTGGGGTTCAAAAAAAGTAATTACAAAAGTATAATAAACATTTTAAATATTAATAATTAAAATTATAAATTTTGTTATTAATGTGTAATAATTTTTTAAAATTTCCAAAAAGATCATATAAAAATGTGGTTCTGGCAACTAATTTTAAAATATATCACACAAGAAAATTGTTAATTTAATTCTAAGAATAAAAAATGACATCATAAAACAGAAGCCAAACACTAACCGATATTGCTCAGAAGTCGAGGTAATCAAATACTTTCCAAGTACCCACTATGAATATTCATTGCATATTTTCAAAGATCAGTCAACTTCAAAGTCTACATAATTACCAATTAATTCTTTTTATGGAAATCAATATCTTGATTGGTCCAGCCCTTTCCGTACAGGAGGAGGGCCCCCCGCTGTGACGTAAAACGTCACCGTTTAATTTTTTTTTAATTTAATTAATGTAAGGGTTCATTAATTCTTCCCCTATAACAAACAAAATAATAAACCTAAAGCGGAACGGAGCCATCTTCTGGGTCTCGCCGTCCCGAAAGTTTGAAGGGGGTGAGTTTGTGTTAAAAAAAAATTCTATTTGTATAAATAGAAAATATAATAAAATAAAAATAATTCATGGAACAAATCAATTTATGAAACCAAATTATATATTTTTAAAAAGATTAATTTTAAAATTAAAATCAAACAAACCATACATGTTTTGACTTTTTCAAAACTGACTTAAATGCATCAAAAGTGAAATTAAAAGGGAAAAAAATTGTATTTGAACAAATCAATTTATCAAACCATAAGCAAAAAAAATGTAACTTCAAAAAAAAAAAAAAACCAACTTAAGGCCAAAATATATTCAATTCACATCCAACATCTATATAAAAAAAATAAAACAAAATTCTGAGACATTTAAACTTCAAAATCTCCTACCAAATATCCCAAAATCTGTCTCAACCGTTCTAAATTATCCAAACAAAATTCTAAAAACCTTCAATTTGAATCCTCAAAACAAAAACTACAAAGTGGATCCCCATGTCAATTTTTTGGAGGCGGTTGGGAATAAATAGAAAAATCAAAAGAACTCTCATTTCTAAATTCGGTCTCCATTGGATTGTGCCCCACTGGATTAAGTGATATTCCCTATAAAAAAAAAAGAAAAGAAAAGAAAAGAAAGAAAATTCATTAGAATAAATTTTATGGACTAAATTACATTACAAACATATATATATATATATATATATATCTTACTTGAGAACTTTGTGGACTATGTGATGCTTGGAAAGACAAAGGTTGTGATTGTAGATACCTTGGTGAGTATGAATTAGTATCATGTGTGAGAAGATTATACCCATAAGTTATCAATTGTGGCCAATAGAAACTCCCACCATCCTACTCCATAAAACACCATGAAAAGTAAATACACTAATACAATGTAGTCTAAAAAATAAACAAAATAACATAAAACAAGAGCTAACCTGTGGTTGACTTAAAGATGAATTTTGAACATTTGTGATATTGCTTGATTGACCAATAATCTACATAAGTTGTTAAATTTATCAATACATTACACAATTTATAAAAATAATAATAATAATAATAAATAAATAACATAAAACAATAGCTAACCTGTTGTTGGCTTGAGGATGAATTTTGAACATTTGTAGTGTTGCTTGATTGACCAATAGTCTAAAGAAATTCAAAAAGTTATCAATACTTTACATAATTTATAAAAATAAATGCATGTCATTTGAAATTTCAAAAGTACGTAGGTAATACCTTACTAAGGCAGGTAGGTTGTGAAATAACTTTTGTCTTCTTATTCATCATCTCATGCCAAGGTTTTAATCTACCCCTCCATTTGTGTCCAACATCTTTCTTCTTTATGCCCTTAACTTGTGCAAAGTTGGGGTCGTCCACTTCTAATTCACTGGTACCAAAATTTCCAACTCCCTTCATCATATTATTTACTTTTACACACAATTCCTTAATTCCTTCATCAACCAGTTGATAGGCAGGTTTGTGCATAGATGCTTGAGTTGCTAGTTTCACCATTCTTGGACAAAGATCCCTATAATGTGCTAATATTAACAACTTCAGATCATCCTCATCCACTACAACATTTTTCTCTTCAACTTCACAATCTTTTGCATCCAATCTCCATCGGCCTAATATATACCTTTCGGGAATTTTCATAACATTCATTCTATCAGGTGCTTTGATTGCATGACTACATAAAATTCCAAAGTTCTCAAATTTCTTACAAGTACAATGTATTTCTTGACAGCTGTTTTTTCCTCTTAGCCCAGTAACTTCCACCCTACCCTCCACAATATACTCTTCACCATTACCATACAAGCCAATCACGCACTTAACTTCTCCTTCTAACTCATGGAATTGCTTCACTTGACAACAAAGGGACGTATCTAACTCACAATGAAATAAATCAAAGATAGGAGGGGTGTACAAACTCGCAACTTGGATTAAAATGGGAGACTTTTTCAATTTCATTCTTGGCAACTTTTGTCTAGAATCATATATTGCAGAAATTTCCTCATACCGCTTATCTACAACAATCCAATTAAAGTGAGTACAAAATTGAACAATGTTGTGATCACCTTTCAAATATCCCCTTAATGTTCCATTTAGACTTTCACTAAGTTGTGTGCTTCGCATTCCTCCAGTAAATACCCACTTCATATACACATGCGCCCACTCCTATCTTTTTCTCCAAGTTCTTTTCATCCACTCATTTTCTTGCAAGTTGTATTTATCAATTAAAGAATTCCAAGCTTCAATTAATTCATGCTCATTCTCGTAGTCATAAATGCAAGCTTTTAAATCGCTACAAAATTTTGAACCAATCTTGAACAAGTAACCTAAATGCTTTAAAGCATTTTGCATTAGGTGAAAAGTGTACAACCCATGAAAAACCTCAGGCATGATTTGTGAAATTGCCTTAGCCATTTCTTGATCTTGATCTGTGAAAAAACTAACAAGCTTTTTTCCTGACATTGCATCCAAAAATGTTTCAAATAACCATTCAAATGACTCTGCAGTTTCATCATATAATAATGCTGCACCAAAAATCACTGTCATTCTAAAGTGGTTAAAGCCAGAAAATAAAGCAAGTGGACGGTACTCCTTATTTGTTCGAAAAGTTGTGTCGAATGACACCGTATCACCGAAAAGCCCATAATCTGTTATCATCTGATGATCAGCCCAAAAAATATTAGTAATCATCTCATCTACATCTAACTGAATGGCATAGTAAAAATATGGATTTTCTGCCACTTGCTACTGGAAATATCTTAACAAACTTCCTGCTTCACCATACTGCAAGTTTCGCTGTCTTTTTGCACGTAAGTAGGTTTTCTGATCCTCTCGCGTGAACCCTACAAATTCCTTCCCTCCTGCTATAGCACTAATAAGATCATGTGAAGCCTTAAGAGATATTCCACTCTCATCAGCTATGTCAATATTTATACCCTGAGCATCACATACCTTTCTCTGAGATAGCATCAAATGAGTACATTGAGGAAGATGCAAAGGGTGGTTGTGGTTGCTATCAAACTTCGACAAGTCCCACTTAAAAGATATATGCATAAATGCTTTACAATTAGTTCTTGTCTCACTTCGAGGATTTTTTATCGTCGTTTACCGTTTATCTTTTTCCCTCTCTCCCTCCTTACAACAAACAAACTTTCTACTAGTCATAACACCATCTTTCTGACTTTTGTTACAATAATCTCTTCTAATACTAAACCCCACAATTCTTCCGTATTCATTATAAAACTCATATGCAGCTTCTTCTGATGGAAACTCCATACCAAGATATGGTGATTTATCCTTGGCCAACTCTCCCATTTCTTCGATGCATCCCTCAAGTCCACCATCATCCATTATACTATCCTCCATTTCAACACTAACAAATATGGGGAAAAAATATATATATATTAAACGAAACAAGAATCTGAGCAAAAAAGTTATTAATTAATTTTAAATGCTGAGTAATTAAACAATTCAATGAAATCTAATAAATCAATTAATAATGTAAATTAATTAAAAGGATAGGGGAGAGGGAAAAAAAAGATGTGTAATTTGTACAGTAACATTGGAAATTTATTGTATCTGAGTAGATTATAATATATAATTGCAAAATTATATTAGAATTAGTATATTATATAATATAGGGAATCTTTTGGCAGACACGCTTAAAGATGTGAATCATATGCCCTCTTATTATATAAATTTTTGATATATGTTTTGTATTTTTGTTACAAATGTTATGTCATCATTTATTGAGTTATAACAATTTATGATTAAAAAATTAAATTCGCATTTTATAGTAAGATTATAGATTTTTTTATTGAAACTTTTTTTAGACCACAAAATGCATAACATTATTACAAAAATAAATAACATTGTTATAAAAATGTGTAATATTTCCACAAAAATACATAACACTACTATAAAAAAATAATTATGAATTACAAATTATTGTAACTCCTTAAAAAAATTATATAATATTTATACAAAAATGCATAATATGTACAAAATAAATTACATAATAAAAAAATTTTCTTATAATATACAATTGTGTTTCTCAATCCATTCACAAAAAACAAACCAAACTATTATACTTGTTCAACCCACTAACATACTGTACAAAACAAAATACAAAACATATATACATATACATACCAGTTTGTTGAACAATAATGGTCTGTAAATCCAGCAGAAGAACGGTGAAGCAAAAATAGAAAACACTGTTCAATCTGTTTGAGAGAAGACAAAAATGTTAGAAAATAAAAAAATAAAAAATAAAAACTAACTTTTCAATCCATGTCAATAGAGACTTTTGCTTACCGTGAAGACGGCGGCGGCCCTGTACAAAAATGTTTTGGCAGACAAATAAAAAAAAATAAATAAAAACTTCAATCCATGTCAATAGAGACCTTTTGCTTACAGTGAAGACGGCGGCGGCCCTAGGTTTATTGTTTTGTTTGTTATAGTGAGAGAAGAATTAATAAACCCTCACATTAAATATAAAAAAAATTTAAAACGGTGGCGTTTTACGTCACAGCAGTCACGGCTGTGAATTCTCCACAACAGGGACCCCCAATCCTTGTGTACATCAACTCTTTTGGCAAAATCAATGTTTATGTACACATCAACTAGCGTTTTCTCTAAACCATTTTTGAATGGGGGATTTGGTGATAGCCCCCTCACTATCTAATTTATCTTTCAAAAGGATTAAAATTATATAAGTACTTTCAAAACCTCTTAATATTTTAAAACTTGTTTCTTTTACTATATTACCCTCATATCTATCAGCTCTCCTATTAAGCCATCTTCACTATGTATTTCAGAGTAAAATTTTACTCTGTATGAAAGTAAAATTTTACTCTGAATAAGAGTAAAATGTTACACTCTAAAACTAAAAGTAAAATTTTACTCTGTATAAAAGTAAAATTTTACTCTGAAAAACTAATAAAATGTTAGACTCTACACAAAAGTAAAATTTTACTCTGTATAAAAGTAAAATTTTACCCTAAAAAATGAGCAAACTGTGAGACTCTGAAGCTAAAAGTAAAATTTTATTCTGTATAAAAGTAAAATTTTACTCTAAAAAACTAGTAAAATGTTAGACTCTACACAAAAGTAAAATTTTACTCTGTATAAAAGTAAAATTTTACTCTGAAAAACGAGTAAACTGTGAGACTTTGAAGCTAAAAGTAAAATTTTACTCTGTATAAAAGTAAAATTTTACACTCTGAAACTAAAAGTAAAATTTTACTCTGAATAAGAGTAAAATGTTATCTTGACAGTAAAATTTTACTGTCATTCTAACACCAGAGTAAAATTTTACTCTAATTCTCTCAAACAAAAAACAGAGCAATAGAACAAGAGTAAAATTTTACTCTCATTATTTGAAACAAAAAATAAAGCAATAGAACCAGAGTAAAATTTTACTCTGGTTCTGTCAAATGAAATTAGATCAAAAATAGCAAAAATAAATCAAAAACAAACAAACAAACAAACAAATAAAAACAAAACAAATTAATCAACAAATCAACATATCTAATTGAGAAGAAAAACTTCTAAAACTCGATCAACAACCACAAATCTCAATGAAAAGAATACATGTGTTCAACAACACTCATACACAAATATATATATATATATATATATTCAAAACTCAAATATGTGTTTAAAAAAATATGTATAACCAAACAACTCCACTAAACATACCTCAATTTAGAGACGATCTGTTTCTCCTCGTAGACGATCTCCTTCGATTCCGACACCGGAGGACAATTTTCCGGCCCGTAGTTGATTTTGTTCCCGATGTTCTTGATGAGTTCATCGTAGAGATCGGTTTCAGCATTGTTGATCGCTGGAGTTTCACCTGATAACTGACCGGACTTGGCTAGGAGAGTGATGACGATGACGTTGCTATCATCGCCGGAGAAGAAGAAGTTACCAAAATTGTCAAGAAACAGAGCTTCAGATCTGGAAGGAGGAGCACGTCGGCGGAGAACAAAGTCAGAAGGGAAAGAGGAAGGAGAGAGACAGAGAAGGTGGGGAGAGAGTGGGTGGAAAAGGTGGGAAAATTTAGTTGAGGGTATAATAGTCTAACAAAATATTTAAATAATAAATTTTGTCCTTTATGCAAGACTTTATAATTATGAGGGGATTTAGAAAGTATAACTTTTTTCTTAGCCCTTTTAACAATGAAAGGAAGGTAAAGGGGGTTTATAGCTACCCACTAGTCATGAAA